ACACACACACACACACACACACACACATTTATATATATATATATATATATACATATACATACATATAATAGATATAGACAGAAGAGAAATAGATATATAGATATATATGTATATACATAGACAGATATATATGTATATATAGATAATATAGATATAAATATAAATATAAATATATATGTACGAACATTCTAAAGTCCACCTTTTTCATCGCCGTGTCCTAAAGACATCCATTTCGAATCCACGGGCGCTATCGGTTCTACTTCCTCATCTTCCTCGTCCGCATCATTTCCTACCTCTCCGTGTTTAGGACTGTTTGAGTCCTTTTCTCTTGCCCCAGGCTCATCTTCAAGCCATGTATTCTTGCGCACTTTATAGTTCCATTCACTCTTTTCGCTGGGTCCTCGGATACACTCACACGGTATCCGGTGTGGATCAGAGTGAGACGTTTCCTCGGCGTTCACTTCGTACTGTGAGGTTGTGATGTTAGACAGAACGATCATAATTTATAACCGCATTTTTTTTGCCATTTAATAGTATATCAACTTTTTAATTGTACTTTATCTAATATATCATCTCTCCAATTGCAAATTCAACAATATGGCACCTCATTAATGGTACACAAGTATTATATCACTTCTACAGTTCTACAATAAGCTTTGAATTCATCATACATTGCGCTAATATCTGGTGTGTCCTCCACTACGGTTGGCATACGCATACTATACTTTATATGAGTATATTATATATAGGTATGTATACGTAAATTATTTATAAGTATAATAAATATAAGTATTCTTTACTAGTATGTGTGCACCACTGGCATGTGATACTACGGCCTCGTCCACTGAGACCACTGCATATGCCGGCAATGACAATACAGCAGCAACTGAAATAGGCACTTTAAAGCATCGAACCTAAATCATCCACTGTCACTTATTGTAAGATATATTCTACATTGTGTTGTGCGTTTACGGATAACAGACTGAACCGGTCCGTACGATAGTGGCACGAAAAGTTCACATATCGAAATAATACAACCTAGTTTTGTACTCTCTATCGAGGTAGATCGGTGTACCCAACCGGTCCATAAAAAACTTGCACGAAAAACTTCATACTCTAGAAACCAACCATACTTTGAATATCACTTTTGTTGTACCATAAACGATACGACAGCCGATAGAGAAACTAAACATACCTTGCACCGCACATCGGGTTTATCAATAACAATGTCATAGAGATCCACCGGAGTCTTAAACAGCATGAACCGAGGCTCTCCAGAACCACCTGTGCCCCCGCCATTGTGTTTACTCAGAAGCCCACTCACGCGACTGTTCGCACTCCCTGTGAGCACAGAAACGGTAGAAAGTGAGTAGATGTGCATATAAATAAAAAATAGAAATAGAAATAGAAATAGAA